ACTGTTAAAGAATGAGTTACAAAATAATTTACCCCGTTTTTTGCTTCTAATTCATTAAAGTATTTTGAGATTTTTGGACCTTTTGACTTTTGACAGCTCTATTGGCATTGGAAATGAAAATTTGCAAAAAACGCCCATCGGCATCTTAAAGTACATGAATGTAGAAATCTTTTAAGCCCTAGAAAGTTTAAATCCATTAATAGTATATTTCGTAACGAGTGCGAGGAGTTGTCAATTTTTGAATGAGCACTTTTTTGGAACAAACTGTAGGCGAAGCTTCGCTTCGCCTACAGTTTGTTCCAAAAAAGTGCTTATTCAAAAATTGGCAACTGCTAGCACTAGTTACGAACGATATTTTTCATAACAAGGTGCAAAAAAGTGCCCTTTTTTGCACCGCGTTATGAAAATCAATTTTTGTTTAGAGCTCTGTCCGTGTTGACGTGGAATTTCCCTTATTTATATCAAATATGCAATTATTTTTCATAATTAATTATTTTAATTTAGACCAATATCTCTTTAACCCCTTAGCAGTGTAGTCAAAATAAACTTTTCGTGCCACAAATGTGCAAAAAAAATTTTTTTTTAATTATTCGATATTATTATATTTTATGTTTTCGGGGTCGCTGAATCCGAATATTTGATCAAAATTTAAAAATTAAAAATGGCGGCTCCAAAATGACGGCTTTAAAAATAATAATAATAATAATTATAATAATAATAATAAATTTTTTATGGGAATTCAATTATTTAAAGAAATTTGAATAAAATTCTTCGCTATAGAAATCAATTATTTTCTTTCTTGAGAATTCAATTATTTAAAAAAAAAATTTTTAATTTATTTTCATAAATAATAATATTTTTCTCTGGAATTCAATTATTTTTACAAATAAAATTCTTCACAGGAATTCAATTCTTTAAAAAGATTTTTAATAAAATTTGTTGCAAGAATTCCATTATTTTCATAAATAACAAAACTTATCGCAGAATTTTAATTATTTTTATAAAATTTTTTTTAAATTCGCCGAAAGAATTCAATTGTTATTAGAAATTTTGATAAAATTCTTCATAAAAATTCAATTTTAAAAAACATGCAATTACTGAATAAATTATTTATTTTTGTATTTAAGTAATTGAATTCTCGGGAAATTTTCTAATAAAAATTGATTAAAAAATGAATTTCACTTAAAATTTTAAATTATAATTGAATATTAGAAACATTATAGCGTGAATTTTTAGGACTAATTGAATTTTGAAAAGGGTTCAAATTAAAATCTTTGAAAATTTGAATTTTCAGTTACAATATTCTTAGGAAATAAAATAATGATTTTATTACTTTGTCATCTTAAATTTATTATAAAACATGAAGAAATCGATCGATTTCTTCATGTTTTATTATAATATTCTTATAAGTTATTGAATTTGAGAATCTTAATTCCTATAGAAGAATAATAATGATTAAATATTTATTTAAAAATAAGTTATTAATGTTCTTCAGGGTCAAGGAAAAATTGAAAATTTTGTCTGGAAATCAGGGAAAAGTCAGGGAAAAACAAAAATTAAATTTTATGGCAACCCTGTGTAATATTATTTCATATTACGATTAACATAATTTAAATTAACCTACTTGAGCAAAAATATTTATTTTAGTATAAAAAGAGTTAAAAATCAATATTGTAGATACCAGTTTCTTTAATCAAATGAAAAATATTATTATTTTTTGATAGATCAAAAAAATTATTTTTTGAAATTTGAGTAAAATTTTTAAATTATTAAATATTGAAAAGCAAAATATGGAAAATTCAAGGACAAAAGTTCAAATTCCAGGACATTTCCAGGAATTCCAGGACTTCAAGGACCAGTAGACACCCTGTGATGAATTCAATTCTTATGAATTGTGACGACCCAGATAGTCTTATCTTTTTTTTATAAAATAGTTGTTCTTTTACCCGAGTTCATTCCCCGAGCGCATTCAAATTCGCGCGCCAAAGTAACGCGCATGACCCAGATAGATGGGACCCTTTGCGAGGATATATTATAAGATTACCGCGCTATAATTATCGCTTATTATATTGTATTCGCGCCTTTCTTTGTTACTGGTAAACAATAAACGTTTTGTTAAGTAACTCTCAGTGACTTGTTCATTTGTTTGGATTATTAATCGTTGTTAAATAGGATTAGCCGCCACGAGGACCATCCGTCGACCGGTAAGTTCGCTCTGCACCATTTGCTCTTTCTTCTGGCCGATTGGACGACTACTTGGCAGCCTTTCTCAATCGCCGTACTTGCTCGCTGCTGGAACTTTCGCTCAAGCTTTGTGCCTCCCGTCTCGAGTCGTCCCCATCCCCGAGAACTCTTTAATTAATATTGCTCTAAATTCAATTCTCGCGACCGGGTTGTCACATTTTTGGCGCCCAACGTGTCTTAGTTATTAGAACTAAGATAAAATCTCGATTACAAAGCCAAAACTGTGCCTACGCCACATTTTTGGCGCCCAACGTATTTTTTTTATTTATAAAAAAAATCACGCTTTTTCTATTAAAATTCGCTGATTTTCATCACAATAAAATTCCGGCGTGCTACCCAAAATGGCGTCGCCATGCCGCTTTTATCAGTGTTGAAACTCGGTTCTCTTTGGTGTTAAAATGTCCATTTTAACTTGCCGCGCAATCTGAAAAATAAATTAATTTTTCCCCTAAACGCGACAAAACACCACAATCATCTTGAGTGAAGGTTCCATAGTTTGCTTTGCTCGCATATTATTACAAAAAAATATATTATTAAAAAGCTCGCATCTCTCTCATTGCTTCATATTATTTGCCTTAATTTTTGCATAATTATTTCGAATATTTTGCTTCGCTATCAATAGTATATTACGATACTAGGCCAGAAAGTTGGATTTCCTGGCCGGCGTGATATATAAGGCCGAGGCGAAGCCGAGGCTTTATATATCACGCTTGCTAGGGTATCCAAATTTCTGGCCGTGTGTCGTATACAATTTTTCTGTATCCCCAGCCTAAAGTACATTAAATAATTATTGTTTGAATAATAAAATAGCTCAATAAGTTGCCCGCCCGACTTTTGCAAAGTCGAGGCGAAGCCGAGACTTAGCTGGTCGGGGCGGGCATGAAAAAAAAATTATAAGTAAAAAATAATTGTAAGTAAAATTTAAAAAATAGTAAACAAGAAATTTTCTTTTACAAATAAATATTTAATAATTAAAAAATAATAAAAGAAAATAAGAAATTTCATGCATTATTTTGATGACTGTCAGTTGTTTTCAAAACGCAAGCTCTGTATGTAACGTGTCTGTGTGGTTGCTATGCTAACATGTACGTGTGTTGAAATTCTTGTAACCAATCAGAGCGCTCGTTGGGTCTGTCGAGCCGGCCACAAAAGTCGCTATTCCCGGAGCCAAATCAGACCGGGAAGACAGTACTTTCGGCAAAGGGATACAGAAAAATCATTTTACTCTTGTATTTCTATCGCATGAAAATTATTTATTTTCATAAAATAGCTTATTTATTTTTGTAAATTATTTCGCAAGATACAATTTATATTATAATTTTCGCTTCTCACGACAAATTATATTTCTATTATTTATTTCAATAAATGTAAGCATGATGATGACTTATAATGATGATCACTTCGGGAAATAATGCCAAATTTTCCACTCAAGCCACAAAGGCTAGGAAAATTACCAAACCCTCGCTCGAAACGCGCAACCAAAACACAGCTGTGTTTCCGTAGAAAATTTTTTTCTTAACGAGTGTTTACTACATGCTCTGTCCTTTTGCTTGTCTCTGGCCTAATCAGATAAATCTATTTTAATTTCCTTTAAACGAAAAATTAAATTTATCCCACATTAAAATTTAATTAAAATTCTTTTACAAAAAAAAAATTTTTTTCTCTTTTGACAAAAAACTACTACTTCTTTTCTTGCTATGATTTTTTAAAAAGTAAACATTAACTAAATTGAAATTTTTTTTTTGTTTTCTAATTTTGAACTCAAACTTTCTTTCCAAAAAAATTTTTTCCCTTTTTTCAAAAATAAATGCCAAGAAAACACAAACACTCTACTACTCAAGGAGTTACTACCAGGTCACAAAGCAAACAAGCAAACATGTTCATAACACCACCACAACAGAAAAAGGGTTCTCAACCCACAGCAGAACCCAACGAACAAACAGTTGCCAACCCCCACCCCACAGCGAGCGAACAAAATTTGGAAGCTGCTGGCCCTCCCCAGAATCAACCCAGTCTTGAAACAAGACCCTTGGATAGCCTTCAGACTTCGAATGAGACTACGACCACCGCGCCACTCGATTGGAATCAAACAAAGCCATTGACACCTTAAAACACGGCATAGCCGATTTAAATAGAACAATGACCTCCCTCACACAAAAAGTAAATGCATTACAAATGCACCAAGCGCAGTCACCCTGGAGAGATTCCAGATGGGCATGCGACGAGAGCGGGGACCACTTGCCAAGTCTCACTAGCCACCCCCCCACTCTCACAACTACTACAACTACGATGTCAATAGTAGGTACAAGCACAGTGACACAGACGAGAGCGACGTCTCATATCGTCCCCCCACTATCACACGCAACACCAGCAAGGCTCACTTCCCCGCCTAATCGCACCTTACACTTCGACGACAACTTGCAGTACCACGACGCCCCTCTCTCCCCACACACCGACTCGCCCAACTACTTCACACCATTCATTCCAACACCGATTTCCCCCCACAAATAGCACCAAGAAAAGCGATCTCTAATTTACACAAAATCATTAAATCTTGGGACCTTACATTTCCTGGAAAATTAGACGCCCATGATTTCATTGCCGAATTTGAGAGCAGGATGTTGTCCACTGACATCAATCCCAATGACGCTCTTCTTTCATTGTCTCAAGTGCTAGTAGATTCAGCCTACACCTTACACTACCTTCCGACACTCATGGCACACATGGGCCGAATTCACAACAAAATTCTGCCTCGCTTTCAGTCAACTCAATGACGACCAATCATTGACAAATAAAATACAACGAGCGGTCCAACAATCAGACGAATCCGGATTAGATTTCGTAATTAGAATCAGCGCTCTTTATCAACGGTTGCAAAACAAAGTGCCAGAACCAAATCAATTAGATAAAGTTTACTCAGCGCTCCACGCTGAATTGATCCTTCACTTTGATCGCGATACATTTAATTCTTACGATGGATTAATATCAAAAATCCACAAATACGAAAATAAAATCGCGGCAATGCAACAGTCGACAAAACAGCGCGAATACGACACTAAACGCAATCGCAATCCCCGCGGTAAAACGCAATTAAATGCGCTAGAAAATTTACCGCAGACTGAACAAAAAACGGATTCGAAACCCTCGCCAGAAACAAAACAAGAGACACCCACGAAGCAAAATAAAAATACAAATAAGCAAACAAAATCAGAAGCACCCACTAAACTCAATAAAATCGAATCTTATATTCAACAAATTAAACATTTGCAAAATAAGATTCCGAAAAATTACAATTCGAAAACGACACAGGAGAAAGACTCTACGAAGCCCTCGACTACCCCTTCTCCTTCGCATCGTTCGCGCAAGCGTTCCACTTCTAGTTCTTCTAGCTCCTCGCATTCTACTTCATCGCAGAAGGGGGGGAAAGCACGTAGATCGCCCGCACGCAAGAAATACGAGAAAGGTAGCAAGTCTAATCGAAACAATAATAGGGAAAGACGAAATAATTCGAACCGCGGTAATAATCAGGGTAATAATTGGAACAACCAAAACAGTGGCTACAACCAACAAAACCCTTATTTTGCGCACCAGTTCCCACCAAACTTTCAGTTCGGAACACAACCGCCGCAACCGCAGCCAATGCAATTCGCGCAACCAATGCAGTTCGCACAGCCAACGCAAATACCTCAGCAGCTTTGGCCCGGTAATTTCAACCACGATTTCCCTAACACATTAGGACAAAATATTTCCTCGCAATCAAAAAACGATGGGAACGCCAGGAGAGATTAAATCTTCCTGGCGAAACACAAAACAAAAATATCGTTCCTTCTAACGACGGTTTCCCTAAAAATCAAAGTCATATCGAAAATCGTGCAGTTCCTGGCTGTAGCCACACCACTGTCGAATCGGGACGCGCCCTTGAAAATGCAACAACGCTTTATCAGGCATTTGCTACCAAGGATGACGTCAACGATTCAGACTGTGAGTGGGGCGACTGCTACATCACGGAATCCGAGACGGAGTACGAAGACGAAGAAACCCCCTCCACCGACCATATAAACTCGATGGAAGCGCGCATTTCCTCGCTCTCTTCACTACCCTTACTATCTCCCAGCAATCTATTACTTGCGTCAAAAGAGATAACTGAGTGTAGAGTACAAAAAGGGCCTGCTACGCCCTTACCCTCACAAAAACGGTGCACGATAACAACTTCGATTAAGATAGGTAATAAAAAATATACGGGACTCCTTGACACTGGTTAGCGACCGCACCTTTATGTCAGGAGAATTATTTGACGAAATTAAACAATTCGTTAACGGCAAACCGATTCTCGACGCAATAACTCGCGCCGGCGTGCAACTCGCGCAACGCGACGACATGGTAGCCCCCCGTTATTCCGCGAAATTTAATATTGAGATATCTGACTGTAACGGCGAAATGTGGTTCGCAGTCCTCGACGGGCTCACCACACCCATTATCTTAGGAATGGATTTCATAACCCTTTGGCGGATTACTATTGACGCCGCCCAAGGCTGTTGGTCCATAGAAGGGTCAGACATTTTACACCCCCTCGCCTCCTACGATAAAATTCAAAGCCTCTTGAGCTCAGCGCAGTTAATAGAACTGACAACTGAACAACAAAGTACGCTTCAAAAATTCTTAGATAAAGAATTATCTGATTTCGCCGATTACACTGGAATAGTTAGTGACCTCACGACTCACGTCATCGATCTCACTGATCCAACCCCTTTTAAAATAAAACCTTATCCCGGCGGAATGGAAGCTGAAAAAATAATGAATTTACAAATCGACCAATATACAGCTCGAAAATTTTTAGTGCCTAGCAATGGCCGATTTGCTAGTCCCGCACTGCTAACTTATCGAAAGGATGGCAAACCGCGACTTTGCATTGATTAATGTCGGCTCAATAGAGTTACAAAAAAATCAGCGTACCCGCTACCACGCATGGACAGCATACTTGACGCGCTTTCTGACGCCGTAATTATCAGCACGATCGATCTTACCGATGCGTTCCACCACATACCGGTCGACTCGAAATCGCGAGAGTATACCGCCTTCTCGGTTCCCGGTCGCGGACAATTCGAATGGGTCCGAATACCTTTCGGCCTCACTAACGCGCCAGCCACATTTCAGGCTTTCACTGATAGGCTGAAACAAAAGTTTGTCGAGCACGTGCGTAAACACAACCTCCCTGAAAGGTTAATCAACCAAGTGCATGCATACTTGGATGATTGAATTATTGTTTCCAGAACCTTTGACGAGCACCTTGAATTGCTAAGAATCTTGTTCACCATCCTCAAGGAGGCTGGCATGTCCATCAACCGCGAAAAATCATTTTTTGCGAAATCATCGGTCGAGTATTTAGGTTATATCTTAGACAAGGACGGCCTTAAGCCTAACCCAAAACGAGTAGAACCAATCCTCGAGAGACCAACACCCAAAAACCGCAAGGAACTGCGCCAGTTCAACGGTTCTGTCAATTGGTACCACCGCCATTTGCGCAACATTGCGCGAGTGCAGGGACCGCTTAACAAATTAGCGAGCCCAAAGGTGCCATGGCAATGGACCGAAGAACACGAGGCCGCGTTTATTGCAGTCAAAAAGGAATTAAAAAATGACTTGACTCTAAACGCGCCACAGCCCGGCTTGCCATTTATCCTCTACACAGACGCGAGCGACACAGGAATCGGCGGTATTTTAACCCAACAAGATAAGGATCGAGAGCTTCTTATTACATGCGTCAGCCGACCTTTGAGGGGTGCTGAACTTAATTACACCACCACCGAAAAGGAGTGCTTAGCACTGGTTGACGCAATGAAAAAGCTCCGTTGCTATCTCGAACTTACCGAATTCACAGCCATCACGGACCATTCTAGTCTGGTCTGGCTCAAGGGCATTAAAGATCCTAGAGGCAGACTCGCGAGGTGGGCCCTTGAACTGTCAGCGAACAAGGTAAAAATCGAGCATCGCAAGGGAACGCTCAACGAAGCACCCGATACCCTCTCTCGCCTCTACGAGAGTCCACAGGAAGACACGCCCCCCGCGCATGTCATCCTGTTAGTCAGTCGGTCGTGGTACGACGACATAAAAGAGAAAGTCAGTCGAGATCCCGCGCGTTATGAGCGATATAGTATAAGCCCAGATGGCGAACTATTCTATTACAAGCCCAATCACCTGAAAGAAACAATAGGTGACAATAACGCCTGGAAAAAGGTTCTTAAAGAATCCGAAATCCTTGCAATTCTCACAGAACATCACGATTCTCCACAATCCGCGCACCAAGGAATTAACAAGACTTACCATTCAATATTGAATTCTTATTACTGGCCCGGTATGCGCGAAGATGTAAGGCGCTATATCAAAGAATGTGAGATTTGCCTTCGTTGCAAACCTGACAATTCCCCGCCTCAAGGCCTGATGTACCCGCGCAAATTTACAGAACCATGGGAAATCGTATCACTCGATATTATGGCCCCATGCCGCTAAATGGAATGTTTCCCACTATCAAAGGCAGACGGCCCCAAAATCGTGAATTCATTAAACACACTCGTAAACAAATAGGGAACGCCGCGAATTTTTATTACGGACAACGGAACAGAATTCGTAAACCGCGCTATCTCTAAATTTTTAACAGAGATCGGATCGGAACAACGAACAACTCCCGTCTACCACCCACAGTCCAATCCCGTCGAGCGCGTTAATCGAAATCTCAAGACGATGATCGCGAGCCACCTCGGCGAGGATCACCGCGACTGGGATAAGTTGCTGAGCGAAATTCAATTCGCTTACAACACGACTGTCCATACGTCACTCGGCGTATCCCCCGCTTATTTAAATTTTGCTCGCGAACCTAAACGCACAGGTAAACAACCACTTGACACAAATGACAACACTATAGAAGACACTGTTCGCGATTGGTTAGAACGTGTGACACGGATAGATGACCTGCGCGCAAAAATTGAATTATCAATGAAAAAGGCCAGCGAGAAACATAGTAAAAAATTTAATAAAAATCGAAAGCATGACATTCCCCTCGAGTCAGGAGATTTGGTATTTTATCCAAATAATCTTCTGTTTAACGCCACTAAAAATTTTAGTTCTAAATTAGCACCACGCTACCGAGGTCCTGCGGTTGTCTTAGAAAAATTATCACCCATAGTGGTCATCATTGGTGATATGCACGGTAAAAAAATTAGGTAAATATCATGTCAACGATCTAAAACGCGCAAAGAAAGGTTTACGATCGCGAACTTAACCATTTTCAGATCACAAACAACCATGGAGACCTCCAATGCACCCAACGTCAACGACAACGCCTCCAGCCAAACTCTCGGAAGCGAGAAAATTTCCCCCACCACCAATGGGCAATTTCTACGAGGAGCAATCCAAGGCTGTTTACGCTATGGCTAGCGAGAAGCAACGACTGACCGAAGACCTGTTCACTGCGCAACACAACGCGCGCAAACACGAGGAAAAAGTAGTCAAGCTGCGCCAAGAACTTGAGGCATTCGAGTATGACTGGGACGATCTTCTCAAGAGTCATAAAAACTTCAAACGCCAAGCCGCTCTCGCCAAGAAATACAAGGACCTCTTTAGACAAACAATCACAGAAGTCTACACCGCGCAAGTCAATATGCGCGAACCTTGCCTCCGAAAGAAACTACCACCTGGCTGTATCAACTGCAAACAAGAAGGTCACAGCCATAATTCTTGTCCTGAATCTTACTCTGGAAAATTCTGTCAAGAATGCGACTGCCCGGACTTCAACACACAAGATTGTCCATGGCCTCATTACGAAAATAAGAAAATTCCCTCTTTGCCGCCGCATCTTCGTTGCAAGCGCTGCTGGCAACCAAAAAACCAGCCCAACCCCTGTTGCGCGCAATGCAGGAAAATAATGATAGAGAAGACTACCGCCAAGAAGTATGACCTCGCCATAGAGATGGAAAACAAGGCTCGCAAACAAACTGCAACCACCACTTACACTGGCACCATATCAAAAGCACCCGCTGTCGTAGCGCAGCTCCCCACCTCCAACAGAAGGACTGAATCGCTCAATTTGGCGGTTAACTCCAATTCGAAGCGACCTGACAATCTGGACACAGCTTCCACCACCTCCGAAGAAAGCGACTCACAGGCCACCAGGAGAGGATGATCATCGCCACCACTCCAACCGCCCTTGCGCTACTTCGAAACCTTTTCTTTTTCGCGCCGTTGCGCTATTTCCGAAAAATTCTTATTTTTTCTATAAATCATTTAGTCGCGTCGTTACGCCTATACAAAATAAAAAAAATATACTTTTATTTTCTTTCAACGATCATGCCACAAGGATTCTTTTTTCAAAAATTTTTTTTTCTTCTCAAAAAAAACATATATTTAAGCTTAAACAGATTAACTATTGCGAAAAGAGAGAACGGCTGTCGTCGTCCATTATATAAAATAATTTTAGTTTATTTTCAAAAAAAGAAAAATACCAAACATTTTATTTTATAATTTCAAATGATCTCTTTTTCTTTAGTTCTATTACTTGACCAGAAGAGATGAGTGACCGCTTATGGTCAGAGCGAACGGGAATGTACCCTGGTTGTAACTCCAACCTAGAAGGGGGGAGTGTGACGACCCAGATAGTCTTATCTTTTTTTTATAAAATAGTTGTTCTTTTACCCGAGTTCATTCCCCGAGCGCATTCAAATTCGCGCGCCAAAGTAACGCGCATGACTGCACTTAGCAGACGACTCGCACGACGCCGGCGAGACTTGTTGCTCTCGCCAGATAGATGGGAGCCTTTGCGAGGATATATTATAAGATTACCGCGCTATAATTATTATCGCTTAATATATTGTATTCGCGCCTTTCTTTGTTACTGGTAAACAATAAACGTTTTGTTAAGTAACTCTCAGTGACTTGTTCATTTGTTTGGATTATTAATCGTTGTTAAATAGGATTAGCCGCCACGAGGACCATCCGTCGACCGGTAAGTTCGCTCTGCACCATTTGCTCTTTCTTCTGGTCGATTGGACGACTACTTGGCAGCCTTTCTCAATCGCCGTACTTGCTCGCTGCTGGAACTTTCGCTCAAGCTTTGTGCCTCCCGTCTCGAGTCGTCCCCATCCCCGAGAACTCTTTAATTAATATTGCTCTAAATTCAATTCTCGCGACCGGGTTGTCACAGAATATACTTAATTTTTAAAAATTCCTTTAAAGAAATTCAATTATTTTCGAAACAACTTTAATAGAATTT